TTAAGCAAGGAATGTGTTATCCGCCTCCCCGCAGTACGGCACAGGTCCACGCACGCTTCCCTCCACACATCTAATTCACACCACACGCTTAAAAAGCACCAATTTCGATACTTGCTGCTTATAAATTGGCTCTTGCAAGAGGCATCTACCACCACACCTACTGCGCCGCCCCCCCCCCCACCATAGAGAGTCGGTCGGCCGAGCGGACAGCACACTGGACTTGTGATCCTGTGGTCCCGGGCGCCGGCGAGAAACAATGGGCAGAGTTTCTTTCACCCTATGCCCCTGTTACCTAGCAGTACAATAGGTACCTGGGTGTTAGTCAGCTGTCACGGGCTGCTTCCTGGGGGTGGAGGCCTGGTCGAGGACCGGGCCGCGGGGACACTAAAAGCCCCGAAATCATCTCAAGATAACCTCAAGATAACCTCAAGAGACCTGGTCTAACACACCTCCCATTGTACCTCAAGCCCGTTCTCTTCCTTTGCCACTCGGTAAAAAGTCAAGATTTAATGTTACTCAGAACCCTATGAACCCAGACAGCCCACCTAACCTATCGAGCCAGATGCATAGAAAACGTAGATATTTGTGAGCCATTTTCTTAATATATTGCATTTTTAACGTTGCTTATCATAAAGTAAAAAAAAAAAAGCTACCGGGTTGGTATCTGAGACTCAACTGGTACAAGAACTGACCATATAAGCCTCGACCATACATGGTAATGTTTCTCACACACCTGGACCTACCTCCCTTCATCACAACACTCACCCTTTGCGAAGACCTGGTCCGCCCTCACAAGGAATACTGCTCCCCACACTTGGTATGATGAGCGGGGGGAGGTGTGGGGCAGGGGGCATGCAAGTCCTGGTGAATGCATCTCAACAAAGCCGAGACTAATGTGGAGCAGGGGCCAGATTCACGAAAGCAGTTACGCAAGCACTTACGAACGTGTACATCTTTCCCCAATCTTTGACGACTTTGGTTACATTTATTAAACAGTTTACAAGCATGAAAACTTGCCAATCAACTGTTGTTATTGTTATAAACAGCCTCCTGGTGCTTTGGAGCTCATTAACTGTTTAATAATTGTCAACAAAGCCGCCAAAGATTGAGGAAAGATGTACAGATTCGTAAGTGCTTGCGTAAGTGCTTTCGTGAATCTGGCCCCAGCTGTGTATATGAGCCGTGGTGATGCGCGGACACACTCCAGTATCCTCTGGTCACACAGCGACCCTACGTGTGTTAACATTATATTCACCACACACAGTCCGGGGCAGCCCCGTGCCCGAGCATACCCATGCAATTTCAATTTCTTCAATTTCTTTCTTTATTATGCACCCCATACCCATTCCGTGGGCGGTGGTGTAAAGGCTTACAGAGGCACATAATCGGTTCAGGAACTGAACCCTCTGGCTCGTTTAGCTCGGCAAAATAATCTTTTGACGTTAGTTACAAAATTATTAATGTTATATATACACATGTACACATACTCATACATACATTCACATAATATACATAAATACATACACATACATATTTAATCACCCACACAAATACACACATCAATAATCTTTTGTGTCAAGTGATTCAAGAAGAGGCTCACAACAGTCACTATACAAGGCACTTTACATCTATAGTGAGAGACACAGTTACTAGTCTTGCTCCACACCCACCCAACTGGGCGGCAGCTTGACAGTCATGTGCTCCACACCCACCCAACTGGGCGGCAGCTTGACAGTCATGCACATAGCACAGTCTCACAAAAGAACAAAATCAAACAAAATAAATCCTAGGCGGTGAAGATGAGCAGAAATTAGCAAAGAGAAGAGTCAGACTGGTGATGAGTGGTAGAGAAGAGTCAGACTGGTGATGAGTGGTAGAGAAGAGTCAGACTGGTGATGAGTGGTAGAGATGGTTGGGCGTGTGTGTACTCACCTAACTGTGCTTGCGGGGGTTGAGCTCTGGCTCTCTGGTCCCGCCTCTCAACCGTCAATCAACTGGTGTACAGGTTCCTGAGCCTACTGGGCTCTATCATATCTACATTTGAAACTGTGTATGGAGTCAGCCTCCACCACATCACTGCCTAGTGCATTCCATTTACTAACTACTCTGACACTGAAAGTTCTTTCTAACGTCTCTGTGGCTCATTTGGGTACTCAGCTTCCACCTGTGTCCCCTTGTTCGCGTCCCTCCAGTGTTGAATAGTTCATCCTTGTTTACCCGGTCGATTCCCCTGAGGATTTTGCAGGTTGTGATCATGTCCCCCCTTACTCTTCTGTCTTCCAGTGTCGTAAGGTGCATTTCCCGCAGCCTTTCCTCATAACTCATGCCTCTAGTCCCATAACTAAGTCTAGTAGCATACCTTTGGACTTTTTCCAGCTTCGTCTTGTACTTGACAAGGTACGGGCTCCATGCTGGCGCCGCATACTCCAGGATTGGTCTTACATATTGTTGTGTACAAGATTCTGAATGATTCCTTACACAGGTTCATGAACGCCGTTCT